GTATGTCGAGATGCAGTGTGAATACCCCGCTGAAGATCTCTTAGATTAGAGAATTACGCAAGGCCGTATTTGTTTACTGTAGCCTCGATGTTTGGGCACGATATTTAGTAAACTATAATTCGGACCCCTAATAATGAGGGGGCTTGGCCGTCGTGCAGCCAGAATTACTGCGAAGTGCAATAAACCATGACGTTATCAGTCATGGCTTACTCCTCGCATAATAATAAATCAGGTACGGTTAGGTCTGTACAGTGTATACTGTATATTGTCACGTCTCCACATTTCACGTGACGAAGATGGAATGGTTCTGTTAAAATGTATTTATGTATATTCCCTATACATAATATTAGGATAATTGTACAATAAATTATCCTAATAGCATCCTAATTACTTTATACTATTTACTCTCATCACAAACCGTTCCGTGTCGTTCAGTGCCATCATGTGGTATCATTGTCTCTCTCTCTCTCTCTCTCTCTCTCTCTCTCTCTCTCTCTCTCTCTCTCTCTCTCTCTCTCTCTCTCTCTCTCTCTCTCTCTCTCTCTCTCTCTCTCTCTCTCTTTCTCTCTCTCTCTCTCTCTCTCTCTCTCTCTCTCTCTCTCTCTCTCTCTCTCTCTCTCTCTCTCTCTCTCTCTCTCTCTCTCTAACTCACTCTCTCTAACTCATTGTCTAACTAATTCAACTCATTTATTGTCTGACTGGTTCTTGTCATTAAAATGTACGTGAGATCTAACATTTCAGTATATTACAGTCGTATGAAAGTGATTCAGATTAAACAGCTGTGTGACAGTATTTAAAAGTAAAATTCGATTCAATAAAATATGAGCAAATTAAAGTATAATTGGATAACACTGAATTATAACACTGAATATCTAAATAGTCACTTAAGCTTCGCTGTACGAATTGAAAGATTAAGTTAACCTCTGATGTCCATCAGACAAAGTGGATTCAAGATTCGAAAAAAATATGCTCTTGACTAGTATAAATTTACACCTGTGAACAGTAAACAATAAACGTAGTGAGAAATATTGTTCACACATTGATCCAAAATGGAATAAGAGAAATTTCGGTACTCGACTGAGACACAGGTGTATTTAATTCGAGAACGTTACCCGTTAGTGCCATTACCTAACATTCATGGCATACTTAATTGAAATCTGGATACCAGATATGGTACTTCACACCAGATATGGTAGTTTATATCACTATCAGACTTTAGAATGGAAAACCTAGAACCATGACATCTAGACCAAACTGTTCACTAATCACCATGGTGATATTAGGGACTTGTCATCAATTTCAAACTTTAGATTCTTTTGTTGCTGGACCAACCTTTTTGCCTCCTACGAAAGATTTAACGAAACTCTCACGATACGCATCTCCCATAAAGATTTGCATAGCCGAGCTTCTTACAAACAGGGTGAATGGAGTGAGAGTTGAGCAGAGCAGGGGTAGAGTAGAGCCGGAGAAGTAGATCACACTCAGCTCTATCCATGAGAGCCGCTTTATCTCCTTTTCTTTACCGAGATGACCTCTGTAGATTACCAGCCACACCGCTACAGTTGCGAGGGAGGTTATCACGTAAATCGCGGTGACTATCAGGATTGTGATTGCTGCCTTTCGATTTCTTGTCTTTCCCGCTCTTTTCATCTTGTCACATCTGTTCTCCTCTGGCAACTTTACTCTTTGTCCTGTCCAAATTGTTGGTGTGTTGGCTGGACTAATCTTCTGTCCGGTCAGATGGTAAACCTGAATTATCATCAGGATGAAACATACGACAGCAGGAACAGCTACAGGAATCAGAAACTGGGCCAGGACAACCTCACCTTGGGAGAGTGAAGTCACAGAAGCACCCTGGGACCCGGCCAGACTTGTTATGGAGAATCCAGGTTCCGCTTTCAGAACCAGAGATTTGACGAGATAGACTTTGTTCTGGAGACCAATCTGTGTTATATACAACCAGAGGTCCAGAGATGCTGTCACAGTCCAGAGGATAGCGTAGAGTAGAGTTGAAGCGGAAACGAGTTTCCTGTTGGGGAAGTAGAATGGACTGATTATCTTGATGCACCTGACTGATCCTAAGACACAGTTCATGAACACACCCATCCTTGCAGCCACTGTTGTAACCAGATAGCTGACAAGAGGTAAAGTGTGTGAGGCGTCTTGGTCCAGGATGGAGAGGAGTGATGGAGTCTGGAGTAGAATACCAACAGCAGTGATCCCGTCACATAGTCCGTTCCGGAAGTAAAGACTTGAGGGGAGATTGGTGCAGTTGTTCCAGTAGTAGAGGACGATAAAGCCGTTGAAGATAAGACAGATGATTGCCAGTGCTGTGTTTGCTGATGCTACTACTATTAGACTGAAACCTGGTGTAGTTTGACCACTATACCTTCCTTCCTTCACAGTTTCCTCATTCTTGATCTTCTCTTCTTTTTCGAATAGAGCACTGTTTATCGTGTTATTTTCTCTTTGTTGGAGAGGGAGTAGTTCAAATTGTGGCTCTGTAGATATCACCTTATCTAGAAAACTCGGTGTCCGCCATTTTGCTGCTAACCCACTGTGTAACTTCATAAGTTCCCGTAAGTTCATGGTTGGACCGGTTCTTTCAGGTAAAATAGGCTCGGTTTCGTAACCAGCCCTTCCATACCATATTATCTGATGTGATGAAGTTTTGGGTTTAACTGTTTTAGACCCTACCGGCCCGGTATCTTTATTCCCTGCTATTTTGTGGGTATTGCGCGGCTCTAGATAATTCTTCCTAGTAATCAGATTGGGCACAGGGCTTATTGTTTGCTCGTTCTCCCTGTCTCTTGTAGTACTTTGCTTTTGCTGATTGAACTTGAAGCGGGGTGAGTTTGGGGTCCTAGCCTCTGCTGTGAAAGAGTTGAAGAATGGCAGGTCTGAGGGCTCTGACTCTTGAGGCAGACTTGCTGAGAGAGAGAGCAGTCCAAAGAAGCAGATCGTGGAAGCAGCCAAATTCTTTCGCAAACGGGTCATTTAGGGTCAGAATCCCTGTAAAATGCTATATTACTCAACAAATAATGTAGGTTCTTTCAATTCATCATTATCATAAATACAATCCGCATTCAGTCGTTTATTTTTACTTATTTTGAAACCACGGCTCGGTTTAAAGTACGAGCCTTGAAAAGAAAGTGACAAAATTAAATCGAACTAGCAAAACTTTGCGAACTTTTACGGCAAACTGTAAATTAAATTAATTGAAAGAACCACGTGCTTTCCGAAAATTGACCTGTGTCTAAGAGGCGACACTGTACTTATTATTGTCCCAAAAGTAACCGTGTTCAAAAAACAAATAAACCGATACTTATTATTTCTATATTCTTTGTGGTGTCCCACAGAAAAACAAATCTATTACGTCAATGAAAACGAGTGATTTGACAAATTATCCCGCGGACTATTACTCTTCAGGCCAAGGATTTGTTCCCCAAGACCAAGAATTGTAGTAAAAATAGATCTACCTCACGACAATTAATGATTTAATTACGAATGACGTGAATCCCAAACTTTTTAATCGTCACAGTGAAACCCGTCCAACCCGCTCCATTGTCATCCCCTTATATTCCCTTTAAATGTATTCGTGAAGAGTCTGCAGTTACTAAACTACAATAACTTGAAATTGGTAGACTAATGTGTCTCACAATAAGTCTAACTGAATCAGCTTCGAAAATGTGCATCATTGCGCCGAAAGCTTATTAATCAATGTAAACATTTTAAAGGTGCAGCAGGCAAAAAACCAACCTTGGGGAGTGGGGACTGAGATCACCGTAATATATACAAAATTTAACCTATGATTTCACACCATGATGAGATAAATCAGATTATATTCAGCTCCTGGGACTCCATTATTTATAGTACGAATATTTTCATCTGTAAGCTTTATAAAAACACATGTTAATTATTATGTGGGTGGAACTGATTGGTACGGACGTCAAACATCAGAGTAATGAATTAAACAACTTTGAAGGATCCCTTACTAAAGATTAAGTAGCAATTTCCTTAATGACTAAAGTGATGTTTATATTATGGGGCCTAGGCAACTAACTTATTGTGAAGCATGATTCATCAAATAAGTTAGATTAAGCTTTATTTCTCATTACGGGTAAACTCCAATTCCTCGATGTGGAATTCCTCGTGGAATTACCACGAAGTTCCGCGCGTAGTTCCGGTCATCCGGGCATTCATCCATAATCGACAAGTTTGAGGAGCAAGTGTTCGGACGTGAACTAACATCTAATATTTCAGTTTGAGGAGCAAGTGTTCGGACGTGAACTAACATCTAATATTTCAGTTTGAGGAGCAAGTGTTCGGACGTGAACTAACATCTAATATTTCAGTTTGAGGAGCAAGTGTTCGGACGTGAACTAACATCTAATATTTCAGTTTGAGGAGCAAGTGTTCGGACGTGAACTAACATCTTATATTTCAGTTTGAGGAGCAAGTGTTCGGACGTGAACTAACATCTAATATTCTCAGTTTGAGGAGCAAGTGTTCGGACGTGAACTAACATATAATATTTCAGTTTGAGGAGCAAGTGTTCGGACGTGAACTAACATCTAATATTTCAGTTTGAGGAGCAAGTGTTCGGACGTGAACTAACATCTAATATTTCAATTTGAGGAGCAAGTGTTCGGACGTTAACTAAAATCTAATATTTCAGTTTGAGGAGCAAGTGTTCGGACGTTAACTAACATCTAATATTTCAGTTTGAGGAGCAAGTGTTCGGACGTGAACTAACATCTAATATTTCAGTTTGAGGAACAAGTGTTTGGACGTTAACTAACATCTAATATTTCAGTTTGAGGAGCAAGTGTTCGGACGTGAACTAACATCTAATATTTCAGTTTGAGGAGCAAGTGTTCGGACGTGAACTAACATCTAATATTTCAGTTTGAGGAGCAAGTGTTCGGACGTGAACTAACATCTAATATTTCAGTTTGAGGAGCAAGTGTTCGGACGTGAACTAACATCTAATATTTCAGTTTGAGGAGCAAGTGTTCGGACGTGAACTGGCCGGTGTATCGGGGACACTCCCAGATCCTGGAGAGTAGTGTCTGTGTGCTCAGCACGTTCTCGCAATGGTTTCTACAATTCGGCGCTAAAAACAGCAACTCCGATCTCTACTCGAGCATGATAACGTCTGTTCTGGATACGGTCCTCCCCTCTTTTGAACATCAGGTCAGAATTACTTCTCATAAATTAAGTTAATTTATAAATGATTTAAGCTTCAAATTTTTATTAATTTATTTTTTAATTACATATATGGACTATGGTTTTGATCTTACAAACTCTTCATGGTTCAAACTGTATTATATGTATTTCTATATGTCAATTATTTAAACTAATAATTTGATTAGGAAAAAGAAACCGATAAACACAAGATATTTGAAATCTTATGATTTAAAATAATAAAATAACGTAATACAATAACATCGTGAATGAAAAGAGAATATTATAAAATCATAAGATATAAAAAATCTTTTGAAAAACTTCGTTTGCGAATTGAGGGTCTTTACAAAAATGGAATCAACTGTGTTTATAATCACTAACTTAGAAGAAATTGTCACCGATATATTCATAATATCTTCACTTTATCTTGTAATGTACGCACATTGATGAAGAGCCAATATGTCGGCAGTTGGCTGTAGCCTTAGCGAGGGAAAAGTTCACCACCTCTCGATACAGATTACAGAGTTATGGCAATTAATGCCTTTTTATCTGATTCATCAACAACTTTTGGTTTGGTTCGCCTCAGCAGCTCTTTGGGTCCCTTACCTCCGAACTTTTCCGGTAATGCTTATCATTACCTCCATTCTTATCATAACAATCACCTACCTTATCACCAAGTCCGGATCTCTACGCTACTTTTTTGGTCTGCCTACTCTTGGTTGCCAGGGAAACCCCTCAGAGGGTTCGTGCCAGTCCTGGTGCTTACTGGGGTGGTGCTGCTTTTAGTACGGACTTTGTAAACGTGGAATTATGATAGTATAATCAGTCAGTATATTAATGAACTTTATTGGAAGCTTTGTAGTGTTGGGAGTAGTGTTATGTAATTATTATTATGTGATTAAATTGTTATGTGATTTTGATTTAATCCAAAGGGTATGAATTATAAACATATGACGATAAAGCTGTTTTGGTGACAATCTTATAAACGTTATAATCTATAATGTACGTTTTAGCGACTGTTATATTTCGACAAAGTTTCACTTCCTTTTCCTCGTCAAGATCGCCTATTGAAGTACACGTATATAATAGAGCAGTGTTCCTAAATCTGTTACTGCAGGACCCGCCAATCTATTCGTTATATTCACTTCATAGATAGTGTTTATTTCAGAGAAATACAGATTAAGGCAGTTTGAGTGTCTAGATCATAGGTATTGGAAAATCGCTCTACCACTCTTTGCTTTGGAACTAATGATTGGAATCTCCTGGTTTGTGTACTGAATCTGATTCATATTCAAGCTGAGCAGTATACTCAAAATGTAGATAAACCTCAGGCCCTTACCAAAGATCTCTGTTCTAACAAAGCACAGATAATAAATAGTAGAGAGTAAGAGAGTATGTGGTAGAGCATGTGGTAGTAGAGCTAATGGTATTGTTAAACCAGACGTCAGCAGGTTTACAAGATGTGCTAAGCTAAGATTCTTTGTTATGCAAAGCACATGTCCTTATACTACTGGTTAATATCGACTCATGGTGACATTCACATAGAGGCTTTCTAGAGATAAACTGTTCTAAAACAGTACAGCACAGAAATGAAGGGTGGGCGTGATGAATAGTCAAATAAATCCTGGTTCTTTATATCTAAATTATTGCTGAGGGAGATTTTTCAAATGATTATTTCTGTCCAGAGACCATGGGCGTTGATTATTGATGCTCATTTAATAGTTCATGTTATGACTGTATTTAAATAAATGGGGCACCAGCCCCTGGCTCTTCTTACTGATGAGACAGGGTCATCAAGTTATCAGGTGTTATTATGGTCAGTTTGTACGGAGAGGCTTTTAAATGGACAATTCTTGTAGCTACTGGTGTCCTGAACTCGTATAGAAATTTTTATATAGGATTAACAACAACAAATGGCTGCGTTATGAGCCAAAAACCATATGTACATTGTATTACTTTGGGTGTGAGCACTCAATTTGATAGTTTTCAGCCCATAAATTGGTCAAATTTCAATATATTCAAGGATACCAACTTTATATGAAAGATGAGCCAAAATAAGATCTATAGCTCAATATCTGTTGAAATTAGCAAACTAAGGCCATATTATGACCACCAAAAATGAACAATATTGTCCATATCTCAGTTCGCAATTTTCACGAAAGTGACTTCGTCAAAAAGTCTATAGTTTTTGTATTTCATTAAGTTAAGGGCTCTGTTGAGACTCTGCAATTAATCGTCCTTTATCTTATTCTATGTAGTATGTACTTAGTTTATGATGATAGGTACTTTTAATCGCGGTATTAAAACAAGGGAAACAAGCTTTGTTAGGAAAAAGGTTTTAACGTTTCAATTTGTCGCATAACATTAAGATTGATTAAAATTTCTATCAAATCGAAAATAATATACCCCGGGAATGAAAGACTTTTGTAAAAATTATCAATACAAATTGTTTCTTGAAAACAATAATTTATAGCATATAATATTATACCAGAAAAAGTTATCTGAAAATTTAAAATTCAGCATGTTCATATTAAGAGCAAAATCTTCAAAAAAAACAGTAACGTGCAGTCCTATAAATAAATTATTCCCCCAAAACAAATAGAAGAAAAATAAGACTCGGCTGACAGTGGGGAGGTGAACAATATTTTACTGACACGTGACAGCGATTCAGAAATCTGACTCCAGCTCTCAAGCAGCGACCAATCAAATCCCAGAATCGCTGTCACGTATCAAACCAAATATGGTTTACTCCCCCCTTTTAACCGCGCGCAATTCTTAACATTGTCCCATCAAGAAACTCGCAAAAGCTAGGGTATCCCTAGTTTGAGAAGGTAGTTTCTTTGACAAAGTGCTGCAAATAGAAAATTGTTAGTAAACACACAATTTGATCTATAGCGGTAATGTGTCGTAGTGCAATGTTACTGACCGTTCAGAAGTTTAACAGAAGTGTAAAAAAGGTTGGTTAAAAAGCTGAAATCAGTATAAGTCACTGTATACACGTTTGAGTTATACCTAATACCGGTTATTATAAATGCTTTACCCAAGGTTAATATTTTTAACTAAATCAAAAATGGCTGCCAGTGACAAAAGTATGAATATTTAATATTCAACATTACTTACTGAATCCTGAACAGTTATTACAAATACAAAATGCTTGGTGTTAAAATGTTGTCTATGATAAATGAAGTTTTATAAGTCCTGTTAAGCTATGGGTAACATTTTGTCTTGTTGGAAATAATTTTAAGTTTCCTAGGAGATATCATTATCAACCTATGCCACATTTTGCCTTAAGGAAATGTTGCATAAGTTGATAATAGCGGATTTACAAAGTTTTTTAATTCACAATGATCAAAATACTTACTCGGACAAAATGTGCCGGTTTCCCACGATACTGTTCCTCCAGGCAATCCAATTAGCACTACATTCCCTGTGTTGGTCACTTCCAATTTTGTTCCAGTCCGCTCAGCTTCCGTCCATTCAGCTTCTGCATTTAATTCATTGTTATAACTTTTATATGAGAATAAATAAAAGCGTCGTCAGTTCAATGCGATTCGATAGTTTTAGTTGAACTGAAAATTCAAATCATGCGATTTTGAAGTGGACGCAACTTACCAGACTCCCAGATTAGTACATCCGAATTGTAGACTGCTATATTCCCATTACTCTGAAATATTAATATTTTATAATTTTCCAAAAGATGCTTATCAGTCAGCATACATTTAAACGTTTTCTCGATCGATGAATACACATATATCGCAAACCACAGTTCGATCGGGCGCAAAATCTTGTTAGCCCTTGTTGACCCCTGCTTCAAACCCTTACCTGAATTAGTAAGAAAGGATCCACGGCGTTCCCATCTGTCATCTCTGTTGACCAGATTTTCTTGTTCTTACAATTTAGAATGAGATTACCATCCGCCCTCACTCCAAACGAAATAATCCCGTTTGGAGATGTTAGTCCTTTATTAACCGTTAGTATGTCACCCCTTTTTACCGTACAACGACTTTCTTCACAGGTACCTTATGATGTTTTAATATTAGATATGCTACCACTAAATGGGGCCGTCGAAATGTGGGCCAACTTGAGAACTCATTACATATTTTCAGTTGAAAAATATAAACTCAGTTTGAACCATGTTTCGACATGACCGGTAGTATATCTATTATGTCATCGTAAATCAGGTAAATATATGACTCACTTACATGTGAATTATGTATCAAATTGCCATATTCTGTTATTCGGTAAAATAATTTTCGATTCAATATGATTTTTTTTATTCATCTAGATTCTAGAGTGCACTTACTGGATCCAAAAACCTTCACTTCAGAAATTCCGTGTCCTACATTTCCTCCGGTCTTCTCGTCTGTGATTTTAACCATGTTTCCGAGAGCTCCTTGACAGTTTATAATGTACGTTTGAGCGTTTACGTCAGTTTTGGATCCTCCTGACATTACTGAGGAAATTTGGTTATGAATAACTATAAAGCAATAGTGGTTTGCATGCCGAAATTTGACTCTAATGACATCTACTACTAATTACTATTAGTTATCAACAAATTCTTATGATAAGAAGTAAAGGCTTGAAATTTAATTTTACCCTTATCTTACCTGGTATATAACCACAACGTTTGACTTCCTTTTCATTATCCCCGTCTTCTTTGACGTAAACGAATACAGCAGTACCATCGATTCTTTGAGTGCAACACTCGTTTGTGTCCAATCTGTTTGTTATCTTTACTTCATAGATAGCGTTTATTTCAGAGAAATACAGATTCAGGAAGTTGTCATCAGTGTCTTCATCTTTGACACTGTAGGTGGTTGTGTAATCTTTGTCATACACGTTGGAAGGCTTGAATATGTCGGGTTCTGTACCGTCTTTGTACCAACTCTTTGCTGATGATCCGGTGATGGGAATCTCCAGGTTTGTGCACTGAATCTGATATACCATCAAACTGAGCAGTAAACTCAGATTGAGGATAAACCTCATGTCTTTACCAAAAGTTTCTGTTTTAGCAGAAAGCAAATCGTAGAGAGTAAACGAGTTTGTGGTGATCTGTTTACAAATGGTATTGTTGAAGCCGGACGTCAACTGGTCTGCGTGTGGTTCTTAGCCTCGGTTAGCCGGGGTAAGATTCTTTGTTATGCACATCGAGTAGCCCCAGGATCTAGAGCGCATGATCTAATGGCACTGTTTATCTCAACTCTTGGAGATAAGGAGAGCGTGGTAAACGACTTACGGCCAAGTACCGGGCACAGCATTTGTGCATATTGAAGTTTAGGGGATGGCTTAGTCTAAGACCAACAGTTTACAGAAGCGTAGACATATAACGTAATCTCTGAGGGTGGTTAGTGGGGTGGTTAGTGGGGAGGGTGGTTCCGAAATGGTAGCTTTGTTTAAATGTGATCACGGAGAGGAGAGTTAGAGGGATATACAAATTGTCAAAAAGATAATTACACCAAATAACTGTTTTCCTTTATTGACATATATTGATATAATGCGATTTCTATCCAGAGATTAATGTGCCAAAATTCTCAGCAACTTATGTAAATTATGACGTTGATTAGGCTAGTAAATTAAAAATTACATTTTCCACGCTACAATTTAAATAATTCTACTACATACCTTGCTCCAACATGGCAAGACGATAGGCAATAGGCATTAGGCATACTGGTGATGTTGAAAGAGGCGGTATGATGGGATGGTGATGGGTGTTTGGATGAGTGACTCCCAAAGTTTGATGAACAATTATTTCGAGTAACCCTAGACAGAATAACTTTACATTAGTTTTAACCAAAACCAGCCCCTAATAAAAAACTGCGACTTTATTAGATTTTATTCCCAATGATAACAACCATAACTGTCTGATATCTAACCAATGTTTATCCTCCTAGGGAGAAGGACGTGTTCAGCAGTGTGTGGTGGACCTCCTCTACAAGGTGGTCGTAGTGTGCCGTCCTCAGTTCATCCTCTCCATTCCCTCTGTTCAGGCTCTGTTTGGGGGCTGTATCGCCGGGAGGTATGCTTCCTACTCTCGCTCCTCTCTCACCACTCTCCACAAGGTGACTTCGTTTTTGATACAGAAAATTGTAGCAGTGAGTGAACAATTAATCTCCCAAATCACCTTGACTACTGCAATTCTCGGTGAATAAATTGTACGGATAAAACCTGAAACGTGGTACATACTACATAAAGCACATATATTTTACCAGAAGTTTTCTATAAGTTCATAAGCATACTGCGTAGCTTAGTGTTTTCATTTTGTGTTTCCTAACCTTTATCAAATCAGGCGTTAACGTTAGCTATAGTGCTACCTTACCAGCAAGGAGCAGACCAAAAGTGGCCTACCCGTGACCAACACTTTGAGCAATTTATTAACGGCATGTTTGGCCGACTCCTGCAAATAAACGTTAGTTTGTTTCAACTAGAAGATTATGTTTTTTAACTTCATCATATGATATGGTTTACTAAGAGTGCCTTTCTTACTTTTCATTTAAGTTTTATTTATTAGTTCCCCTAAACTCGATCCCCATCCAGGCGAGCGACGTGAACTCGAGTGCGGCACTTGAACACCACACCCCAGCTTTAACATTCTACCTCTCATCGCTCTCCGACATAGTGAGTTGTGTAGCACACAGAGAATCCAAATCAAAACAAATAGTGTGTCGAGCCATCCTTCCTGTCGCTCGACATCTTGTCATCTTGTTGCCTCACTTTGAGAAAAACTCCAGGATTTTCGAGCATGTGCTAAGTTTCACGACCGTGCTCTGCGACGCCCTCCGTGTTCAGCTGGGACCTCAATTTTTGCTGGAGTTGGTGGGGTTGTGTCTGTCGAACTTTACAAAAAGTAAAGGAAGCAATAGCGAGGTTGCTAAAACTACCGTCGAGAAATTTATTGAACTTTTGACAAATGTTGTCAGAGAACCGAGCTCCATTTTCAAAGGTTTCACCCCCGACATTATCAACATGGCTCTTAAAGATATTCGAGAATATGTGGAGAAAAGTGGATCGTTAAGCTGCCCTTACTACCTGCTGCTTCACTCTTTACTCGATTTTAACTGGAGCTATTTCTACCCTCGGAACGCGCCAGATCGCGAACACTGTTTGAATCAGGAAAGTTTTATTGCAATTTTACAAGTCTTTGGATCTTCTCTCCTAAAGTCAGACTTTAACGTTATAAAGCAGAATGTGATCGCCCTGACCGATCTAAATGACAAACACGAATTGTTCACCAAGCAGACTTTTATCGGTCATCTCAAAGGAAATTTTATAGCTGTTCTTTTAAATCTTCTGTTCTCTGGCTCGATGCCAATCATTGACGAGGAACTTGAAGACACGTTATACCAACTGGCGAGCAGTCATTTGGAACCAAACCGGGGAGCTTTTTACGTGAACAGTCTTACCAAATACCTGGCGTCAACTTTACCACCCAACATTTTGCCGAATCTTTTAGCGAAAGTGGAGGTGCCGTCTAATGCAGCGTCTTTTAAAATCAATCTAAAATGTCTTGTCAATGAGGTTAAATTTTATGTTAATTGTGGGGTCTAACATTTTACATGTGCTTTTTCTATGTGCTGCCTTGTTTATGAATAAATATCTCACTCTCGGTGTGATATTGTAGGTGGTTAAATTTTTATAATAATAGGAGGATTTTATTTTCTTTTACCACATTTTTATTGTCATTCTTCGCTCTTGTATATAGATATATATTGATTATAACTTAGCGTGTTAAGTAAAGATTATCATTTGTAATTTTTTCGACACTAGTTGAAGATTAAAAAGGGGAGACAAAAAAATTTGTGAAAAATATTGAATAAACAGGTCTTCACAATGCCATCTGTAGTTAACTGACTTAAATTGGTAGGCTAGTGGAGGAAACAGTGTCAAAACAGAAAATGGAACATTTTGGTGATTTTCCAATTTGTAATGCTTTTTCCTGGAATCTAACTTGCAGTACCTCAATTGTGTCATGTCTTATGCCATCCATAGTCAACAGACTAGTTGGTCACTGGAGGAAAAATTACGTAATAATTGTGAAATTTTGGTACAGAATATTCTATGTTGAGCAATTTCTTTAATTTACTAACAATGGGTTGCTTTAAGTGAAGAATAAGTTCGTCAGGGCCGTAATCCGGGGGTGGGGGTGTTGGGGGTTGGTCGAAAATTTATTTTTCTTTGTAGTTTACAACAAATAATAAACCATATAATATATGGTAAGATTGTTGGAAAAAACTTCACCCAAGTTCGAAAACAGAATTGCGGCCATGAAGTATAAGAGCTACCGCCTGCGAGTAAAAGTTAGTTATTATTAGCGGAATATTTATGATGTAAGCTCTTGTGTTGACTCTTATCTTGACACACTACACAGTTACTATACTGCTGCTGCGTACAGAGTTCACGTCAAAATCATGCCGCATAACCCGGACCGAAGCCGCCAATTAATGGAAAGCGCGAGCGCGCGCGAATAATATTCACGTGATGCGTTGATAGGATTGCAAAAAGAAACTTAGCGTGTTCCGTTTAAATCGCAGAGTGGTCACGTGATCAGCTTCATTCCCAATTCCGGTCTCCGAGAAAAGGTAAAAGCAAGATGCTTCATGCTAGGTTGTATTTTTGCGATAACAAATCGGTAAATTATAACCATTCTTATGGAATGTACCGTGTGTTTAAGAGTTTGTCATAGGTCAGCACTAATTTATAAATTTACCAACGTACGAAATTTTACAAAATCTTCATTGTGGCACACCTGTGCAATATAATTAAGATTTAAGGACCCTTTACTTTACTAAACAATGGTTTCAGGTTAAAGAGAATTTAGTCTATACACTTATGAATGAAGATGCAAAATGTATGTCTAACCAGTAACCTTCATTCCTTCAAACAAAATGTGGTAGAATCCATTCTAGATAAGAAGTGAAACACACGGATTCGTATCGTACGGTGGTAAAATAACAATTGTTTTAAGTACAGTTGTTCAGGGTGAATTGAGACATCTAAACGCCACGGTGGAACTCTCTAGGAGTCAGATAAAAAGTGCAACGGATTTTGTCCGGGAATATTCTTGCGATAAGATTAGTAGTACGGTGGTGCAGTAGGTGGTGCAGATGAAAAATGTATTCTAAATGATATGAGAAACCGTGAATCAGAGAAGAGAATACAAGTGACAAATTCCTCTATACTGTTTTTTCACCCTAATAGTAATTTAGTAGTCCATCTGCTAACACAATTCCTTGCAATCACAGCCATTAAATTGGAAACATTTTGACATAAAATAGAACGTTTATGATATTGTGTAAATGTTCAGTTTTATTGCTTCGTTATGGAAAAACTTTTTAAATAGTGTTGAAAAAACTGTAAAATTTATAAATTGCATATATTTTTCATAAGATGACTAAGAAGTCGAGATGACGACCATGAAGAAAATTCTCTTTCCTTTATTTTGTAGTATCGTAGTTTGAGGGTTTAGTTGAAAAATCAGTATTACTGACTTTTTTACTTGTTAGTTCTTAAAAAACATAAGCTAGCGATTTATGATTAAATAAGAAAAATTCAATAACTTGGCAGATAGTGATAAAAATAGACAGAAAAATACTCAGCTGACGGTTAAAAACAAAGCTGACAGATAAAAATGCAAATCAAAGCTGGCCTAAAAACGAACCTGACAAGTGTGATTACAAGGAGGAACTTGGCAGTCCTTTCTCTGTCCAAAGCAAGGAAGGGTGGGCGTGGTCACCAGTATTTGAGCATTTTATGCTCACTCGTTTTATAAGGAGTCTCACTCGTTTTATAGGGAGTCTCACTCGTTTTATAGGGAGTCTCACGCGTTTTATAGGGAGTCTCACGCGTTTTATAGGGAGTATCACACGTTTTATAGGGAGTCTCACTCGTTTTATAGGGAGTCTCACGCGTTTTTTAGGGAGTATCACACATTTATAGGGAGTCTCACGCGTTTTATAGGGAGTATCACACATTTATAGGGAGTATCACTCATTTTATAGGGAGTCTCACGCGTTTTATAGGGAGTATCACACATTTATAGGGAGTCTCACGCGTTTTATAGGGAGCATCACACGTTTTGTAGGGAGTCTCACTCGTTTTATAGGGAGTATCACACATTTATAGGGAGTATCACTCATTTTATAGGGAGTCTCACGCGTTTTATAGGGAGTATCACACATTTATAGGGAGTCTCACACGTTTTATAGGGAGTCTCACTCGTTTTATAGGGAGTTTCACGCGTTTTATAGGGAGCATCACACGTTTTATAGGGAGTCTCACGCGTTTTATAGGGAGCAGCACACGTTTTATAGGGAGTATCACTCATTTTATAGGGAGTCTCACGCGTTTTATAGGGAGTATCGCACATTTATAGGGAGTCTCGCGCGTTTTATAGGGAGCATCACACGTTTTATAGGGAGTATCACACATTTTATATAGGGATTCTCACACATTTTATAGGGAGTCTCACACGTTTTATAGGGAGTCTCACGCGTTTTATAGGGAGTATCAAACGTTTCATAGGGAGTCTCACTCGTTTTATAGGGAGTCTCACGCGTTTTTTAGGGAGTATCACACATTTATAGGGAGTCTCACGCGTTTTATAGGGAGTATCACACATTTATAGGGAGTATCACTCATTTTATAGGGAGTCTCACGCGTTTTATAGGGAGTATCACACATTTATAGGGAGTCTCACGAGTTTTATAGGGAGCATCACACGTTTTGTAGGGAGTCTCACTCGTTTTATAGGGAGTATCACACATTTATAGGGAGTATCACTCATTTTATAGGGAGTCTCACGCGTTTTATAGGGAGTATCACACATTTATAGGGAGTCTCACACGTTTTATAGGGAGTCTCACTCGTTTTATAGGGAGTTTCACGCGTTTTATAGGGAGCATCACACGTTTTATAGGGAGTATCACTCATTTTATAGGGAGTCTCACGCGTTTTATAGGGAGTATCGCACATTTATAGGGAGTCTCGCGCGTTTTATAGGGAGCATCACACGTTTTATAGGGAGTATCACACATTTTATATAGGGATTCTCACACATTTTATAGGGAGTCTCACACGTTTTATAGGGAGTCTCACGCGTTTTATAGGGAGTATCACACATTTTATAGGGAGTCTCACGCGTTTTATAGGGAGTCTCACGCGTTTTATAGGGAGTATCACACATTTTATAGGGAGTCTCACACGTTTTATAGGGAGTCTCACGCGTTTTATAGGGAGTATCACACATTTTATAGGGAGTCTCACGCGTTTTGTACAATGACTTTCCGTACTCGGTCCACTCTGATACGTAACACTTGTCTAGATTAACCGGGCACTTGTAAATACTCATGAATGTACCGTGTGTTTAAGATTTTGTCATAGGTCATCACTAATTTTAAAATTGACTAAAGTAAGAAATTTTACCAAATCTTCATTGTGGCACATCTCTGCAATATAATTCAGATTTAAGGATCCTCTACTTTACTGAACAATGGTTTCAGTTTAGAGGGGATTCAGCCTATACACTTTTTTTTACAATCTATTTTCAGATGAGAAGTGACTAAGCGGCCAGACGATGGTCACTCCAAGATCTTGCAGCTGGGCATCGGGAAATGTGTGTAATTAGTAATTAAGTATTATATATACGTACATCCTCATGTCATACGTACACACTGCGCTTACATTCAATCTCATTATTGAAGAGAGTAAGCTGATCTGTACAGTCCTCCTGAACTGTACACTGTACATCGGCTACACAATAAACAGGTTCACCATCTTATTAAGGACAAGACAATTGCCAGTGCAACAATCGAGATATGGCGGTATGTGACACTACTCACTATTCACTCCTCACTCTTGAGGCTCTCTTAGATGGTGCCTTGATAAGTAACCAGGGTTGTTCACTAAAAAAGTCACTAATGACTACATTTTACTACACTTGTATACACATTCTACGCTCATGTCCCTACTCTTCCTCAATTTTTATCATCACTTGAACATGCTCGCGAACCTTGCTATTAGCAAACTATATTGCTCGCACAGGAATGAGATGTACAAAATTACAATGTGGTATAAGGAAATTGGTACACATTTCACAAGAGGTGATGAATGTACCCTTTGCGCAGTATGTCAGGTTATGGTGGCTTAATCACGAAAATGTACTCAGGTTACTAGGAGATAACCTAAATATCTCCATAAATTAGATCATCAGTAATCCCGGTCATCAGTAATCCCGGTCATTAAAACGCCCGCATATGAGGCTGTCTTAATGAGAGAGAATTTACTATTATATGAGGATGTCTGATTCTACTGTCTGATTCGGTCTAATTAAAGAAGAAAATCTAAGATAGTATTGCCACAAATCCTAGAATTAGCCAAATTCTAGAATTAGCCAAACTCTAGAATTAGATAAACTTGTTGAATTGGACGTCACACTTGCGGTCAATTAAATTCGAATTAAAACGTCCACAGTACAGAAATGACCCGTTTGTAATTTATCCACAACATTCAAAATCAATTCTAAAGTTTAATTTGCCATCGGCTACCCAAAGTATGCCAAATTTAGTGCGCCCAACTTCAAACTAATGCTTGTACATGCTTGTGGGAAATGCTACATAGTTTAATGAATTTGATAAAATAACGATGTATACCCCACATAATATTACAATAATGTATACTCTGATAAATAATAAGTTCAGCACTTTTGAAGCTTATTAACACCTCCTTACAGTAACCACCTCCTTACAGTAACCGGTTACTTCCGAAAGTAACCGTTTGTTAAAATGTGTTGCATAAGTTTGTTCCGTGAGATGTTCAATTGTTAAAATCTGAATCTCACGAACATGATCAAATACACCGAGTTGCATAAAGTGATTAGAGTAGCATTGATGCTTGTGATAGAGAGTGATCGTAATTTTATCGTTTAAATTTGCAGCGTTTGTTTCACTGGGGGCTTTAGTCATTGATATTGATAACACTTTAGCAGGCAAATATAATCATTTTATTTAACTCTAGAATTTTTACAAATACAATACGCAATAGGTTTTTGAACTGCAGTGGTTTTAATTTAATTGAGTCGTGCAAAGTATGTCTAGACCGTTTGAGATTGTGGCAGACATTCTAGAACTAACAAGAAGATTCGAACATTAGAACCAGTGTTTAGGAGAATGTTTTGATTTGTCGCGGCAATGAATTATAACAGTTTAATGCAAGGTAGAGCTTACAGAAGTGATTCAGATCAACTAAATTTTGTCTAAGAAACTTTCATCACTCATTTTAAACGCAACTGAAATTATTTCTAATATAAATGCACAGGAATCGACTGGGACATGATTTCAGGCCTGACCGGGACCGGGACCGGGACCGGGACAGGGACCGGGACCGGGACCAAGAATCCTGAATTAACCGGGACCGGGACCGGGACCCGGACCGGGACATAAATCAGCATTTGACCGGGACCGGGACCGGGACCGGGATAAAAAATGTGACTTGACCGGGACCGGGATAGCTCAAAATTGCCAATCCCGGTACCGGGATTCCCGGTACCGGGAATTCCGGTCGATTACTGGTTAATTCATGATCATAATTTATTACTCAAACTTGTTTAGCAATTTTAAACATTGTTTTATTTGGCTCAGAGGATGTTGAAAGAAGAAATTCACAATGAATGAAAGGAAAAACTTAAAATCACAGTGAATGAAATTATGTAAAAGATCCCGGTCAAAATCCCGGCAAATTTGAGTGATTGTCCGGGACCGGGACCAAGAATCCCGAATTAACCGGGACCGGGACCGGGATCATAAATCAGCATTTGACCGGAACCGGGACCGGGATAGCTCAAAATTGCCAATCCCGGTACCGGGAATCCCGGTCGATTCCTGTAAATGCAATATTATGATCATATATGACATGTTTTATAGTGTTAAAATTTAAATATATCAAGTTGTCCACAATGCACATAACATCATCATAGTGTTAAAATTCAACACTGTATCAAGCTGTATTAAAGTGGATTACTTAATATATCTCTTACAAAAGATAATAACATCCTTAACATTACGACCACCACAGCCCTCGTGACCAGGTCATGTGTAATGAACATGTTGGTAATTTCTACACGCCACACATGACACATCCATAATCTAGTGATTTATGCCGGACACGTCAAATTGGCAAGGAGAACTTGTTAAGAAGTCAGCGTGCACTGTTATCCGGCTTAGCCAGGTCACACACACACACACACACACACACACACACACACACACACACACACACACACACACACACACACACACACACACACACACACACACACACACACACACACACACACACACACACACACACACACACACACACACACACACACACACACACACACACACACACACACACACACACACACACACACACACACACACACACACACACACACACACACACACACACACACACACACACACACACACACACACACACACACACACACACACACACACACACACACACACACACACACACACACACACACACACACACACACACACACACACACACACACACACACACACACACACACACACACACACACACACACACACACACACACACACACACACACACACACACACACACACACACACACACACACACACACACACACACACACACACACACACACACACACACACACACACACACACACACACACACACACACACACACACACACACACATTTGGTAGCACATTATGTAGCTGCTCTTATTCTCAGCTTATAATGAATTCGTCATTGTTAGGTTCACGGAGTTGAACCATGACACATAAAATATATATAAACATATTAAAAGATAAGAAGAGATGAGAATAAATGTCAACTCCACGAGGTTTCAATTTACCAGAACAGCCAACAGGTCTGTTTATTTCAATTGACATAAATTAGCGAGAAACATGTTATACGCCAGTGTTTGAGCGATATGTTAATAAAGGAGCAGTATTTTCTCTAGTTTCCGGTAAAAACTAAGAATTATCTTGTTTGAAATTAATTGACAGATTTTCAAACTACACTGTATTTCGTTTTGTAAATATGTCTTGAACTTTTAGGATTAAACGGTAGTCGGTAGGTCCACTTAAGCTCTTATCAGCTATAACATTCAATATTCAATATTCAATATTCAATATTGAATAACCTATCGGTGGAAGTAGCATGGTTAGTGATAAAGTGATTATGCAGCTGTGCACAGCAACGTGTTCTGGAGCCTGCTCTTCAGTTATTTAATGGCCGTTTATCATATCATATTACACGTTTATTTGACCAGCTGGGTTTACCAATAGCCAATAATAGCATCTTACATGCCGTACATTATTTTGCATACAACCTGCATAATATGTTGAATGTTGAATAATAAATACCGATGCAGGCTATTCCTGGCAATTCAGCGCTAGAAAAGAGTTACTTTCATGAGCTGGCAAATCGACAGTAAACAAATCTTATTCGACCATAAATTGTTGAATATGTAAGAAATACTGAGGATCATAGGGTGGAACAAATTCGTTCACTGACGTGATATTACAAATTAAAATATCCTTTTCACATTTCATAATATTCAACATTTACATTCCTTCTTTACTTGTACGCTCTTAACCTGAGATCGTTGAATCTTTTAACCGTAATTTTACATTTTTGACAAAACAGCCGTTTGTTGCCAGAAATAGATTAGACTTACGGAGTAATTTTACAGATTGCTTCATCGAATACCATGTGTAATCAGTAATATGTTACACCCAACATGTTACATTAGGCGTTAGCTGGTATTAAATATGATTATCAAATTAACTTCAGGTCAATGCAAACAGTGCAGTCGATTACCAACATCATATCCACCTTATCAGGCCAGATGTGATCACTACATGTAATCTTTGTCGGCGGTTTTTTGGATTTGCACTGTTTCCTTGAGTAGGCTCCCCAATACAACTTTCAATGAATCTTGAGCAGCAGCAACGATATGAAGTTCCTAATTTACCTCTCCATCTTCACCAGCAATCTGTTCATCTCAGCTGACAGGAATACTTGGAGGAATCATGTCAGATTGAGAAGGGAACTTCGTTTGAAGGGACATACTTTACAGCAGAGGGACAGTTCTAGTTCAGGTATTGTTTTAGAAGCAAACAGACAACTTTCAGATGTGGAGCTCTTTGAAGGGGACATTGTTCGTGATGAGTTTGTGGACTTGGTTTATGGATTTGATAAAGCTTCAAAATCAGGGCAGTTTGTTGACGACACAATGAGGTCATCAGATGATGATGATGACGACAGAGGGACTAGTGACGATATTTTACCAGTTGACGTCATGTTAGATAATCTATCAAAAGAAAGGAACATCACCTTTTTATACTCTGAATGCCCCACATCACTCCGGCAGAAACGAGCAGCTACAGTGGGGACTAGTCGACTGTGGGCTGACGGTGTGGTTTATTACGAGTTCGATCACTCCATCTCACCTGATAAACTAGCTGTTATAAAATCTGCGATGACTCATTGGGAGGCTAACACTTGTTTGAGGTTCCAACCTCGACGAAGTGAGAGGGATTATCTCTCGTTTTACAACGGAGCCGGATGCTTTACTACCGTGGGTAAGGATTTTATGGAATCACGGGTTTAATTTATAAATACAATAATTATGTTTTAATGTTTTACGCGATAATGTCTCAGCACAATCTGCATTTCATGGGTATATTCTGAGGTCCTCTTTCGAAATAATCGAATTTGTAAGGTAAACCGTAACGGTATAACCTTATAACTTAATCTCGACCATGCTATTAGCGTCGACATTATCTATAACGGATAAAAACTTACAAATACATTTACAATTGCCGAGCTCTAATCTGATATTAAATCTCATTCGGACACCAGAACTACCAAAGTCGATCGATTGGAGACCAGCTTTGATTACTGGCCAATGTTTACTTCAAATATATATTATTATAGATACAAAATTAATGTAAAAAAGTAGCACAAAATACTTGATAACTCCTAATCTCTATATGACTGATAGATGATAAATGTGATTATTAATCAGGCAATATGTTAAAAGATAAAATATAAGTTATTATGAACACTGTCACTGAGATGAATGCCAACTAGATCTCTTGATGTGCAAGTTAGAGATTAACTATGCTAAACATAGGCTCTCGAGAACTGCTAAGTCCTGTATGATCACTTTAAAAAGCAAAAAACTGAGCGTTAAAACATGTTGCAAACACTCAAGCTAGCAACGTCAATTCAAACCAATTAATTCGCCACAAATATATTTGACCCATATTATTCCTCGCCCCTCGGCCTTAGTTTCAATCTTATCTCTGCAAAGGATTTTACCAGCCTTTATGAAAAACACTTTATTCTTCTCTTCTGCCGCTCTATCTCTCATTTCTTTGACTAAGTCTCTTTGAATCTGGCGTTTTTCAAGAGACCGATCTGGACAGACGAAAACAGTTTTAAACTTCCCTGTTATCATCAAGTAAAATGTTCCAATCTTCCAGGGAAAGCAGGAGGGAGACAAGGAGTCAGTATAAATGATGCATGCATGTACATGGGTACAGTCACACACGAGATAGCCCACTCGCTGGGTTTCTGGCACGAGCAAAGCCGCCCTGACAGGGACCAAAGTGTGCGGATAGTTTGGGAGAACATCGAACCCGGAAAAGAGCACAACTTTAACAAGATGGACTACACACAGATTGACTCGCGAGGAGTTGAGTATGACTACAACAGTATCATGCATTATGGAGCATTTAGTTTCGCTCTCAACCACACCAGGCCTACAATGGTCGCTAAAAAGAAGTCCCTGTTTAATAATCGCATCACCATGGGACAGAGATCCAGACTGAGCCCTCTAGATATTGAGCAAGCTAATAGGATGTATTGCTGCCCTAAGGGAGCTTGTTCAGATAACCCTTGTAAAAGAGGTCGGTGTGAAGAGAGAGTGTCTCCTCCCTTCTATCATTGCTCTTGTTTTGAGGACTGGTATGGTGTTAACTGCAGCGTGAATGATAACAAATGTGCACTGCTGCCCTGCGGAAATGGCGTTTGCCGTGCTGATGAGTCCCTGTTTGCGGGGTTTGAGTGTATCTGTAACGAGGCATACCACGGTCTGCTCTGTGATAAGGAGATCGACGAATGTGAGGAGGAACCTTGTAAAAATGGGGGAACATGTTTGGACAAGTTGGGAGGGTACACTTGTGAGTGTAGTCAGGGGTATAGGGGTGATAACTGTGAGTTTCTGGAATGTCCTCAGGGAATGTTCGGTTGTGTTGAACTGGCAGTTTGTGTTCGGAACAGTAGTGTTTGTGATTTTAACAACGACTGTGGAGACTGGAGCGATGAGAGTGACCAGTGTGGGGAGTGTTCCTTTGAGAGTGGGATGTGTGGGTGGCAGAGTGAGACGGAGTGGAAGTGGAACATCACCGGAGGTGGAACACTGTCTGAAGAGACTGGTCCTGATCTGGATCACACCTTGAGAAGCACAGCTGGGAGGTACATGTACATTGAAGCTTCAGTTGTAGTGGACGCTGGAACTAGGGCTGAGCTAGTGTCCCCAATTTATCCAGCTTCAGCGAGGTCATGTAAACTTGAATTTGCGTATCACATGTTCGGAACCGATATTAGAACATTGGTTGTAGAGCTGGTAACACACCAACCTCAACCACTTGCAGTGACTGAACTGTTTCGAATAAATAGGAACCAAGGTAATCAGTGGCATTTAGCAAAAATAGACATTGCAAAGAAATTCTTCTTCCAAATCCGTTTTGTTGCTATCAAAGGCTCTGGTTGGAAGGGAGACATTGCAATTGACGACATAGTTTTTACAGACTGCTCCCTTTTCAACGATGTGAATAATTGTCTCGACAACCAGTGTATAAATGGTCAATGTCTCGACGAAATAGGATATTACACTTGTCAATGCTTTCCTGGTTTTAACGGTTCATTTTGTGAAAATGAAATAAACGAATGTGAATTTATTCCATGTGGAGACAACGGTACCTGTGAAGACAAAATAAACGGTTTTACATGTTACTGTACTTACGGTTACACAGGAGAGAGATGCGAGATAAAGGCTGACTACATGTGTGACATGGAGGAGGGGTTGTGTCCTCCTTGGAGACACTCAGAGGACAGTGACTTTAGCTGGACCAAGGGGGCTGGACAAACACCTTCCAAAGGAACAGGTCCTGAAACTGACCACACTACTCGTCTAGGAAATGGTTACTATTTATTTATAGAGGGTTCAGAACCTCAAAAGGAGGGTGATAGAGCTGTCATAGAGATGGGCCCACTCTCCAGATCAGAAGAAGATTGTTTGTTATCATTTGCTTATCACATGCATGGTGAAACTATGGGAGCAATATCTGTTTCAATTACACAACAGAGAGGGAGTTCTGATGAAATCTGGTCAAGTCAAGGAGACCAGGGTAATCAGTGGAACACAGCAATGGTTCCATTAGGAATTAACGAAAGGTTTGTAATTCAGATAACAGGAATCATAGGCTCTTTCTGGGAGAGTGATGCTGCCCTGGACGACATCATGTTAACTGGAAGATGTGGAATCATTGACCCTTGTCTTGATATCGAATGTGGCGAGAACAGTCACTGCGTGTTAGACCAGAACAAAGACACTTTATGTGAATGTAATTTGGGTTATCAGGGTCTGCAATGTACTAATAAAATCAGTCATCATGGCTTTTGTGACGCAAATCCTTGTAACAAAGGAATATGCCATGAGCTGGCTGATGGATATACCTGCGAATGCACTGTGGGTTATGGAGGGAGGCATTGTGAGAGGGCAATACAGGACAACTGTTCTGATAAACCTTGTGCTCATGGACTATGTTTAAATCTACAATCAGGACACCGTTGTGTATGTGATCCAGGTTACATAGGACAGAACTGTGATATTCTATCCTGCAAACCTAACCCTTGTGTGAACAGGGGAATATGCATCCAATTGTCGGGATCTTTTCTTTGTCAGTGCGAGGCAGGGTTTGAAGGATTAAGGTGTGAGGAAGAGACTGATATGGTTGACAGCATAAATAATAAAATTTTAATAGATTTAACAGAAATATCTAGTGAACAAGATATGATAGCTTCCTGTAAGAACTGTAAGAATGAAGCCTGCCTTCAAAACACAAGCTCAAACAAGTCATGCACGTGCAGGAAAGATCTCCCAGGAACCAAATGTGAGCATAATGTTTGTGCAGAATTCTACTCGTGTTTAAATGAAACCTGCAACCAATGCCATGACATATCAATGAATTCGAATGGAGATATTATAAAGACTAATTTCCTATTAGTTTCAATTATTAATCAAATTTTATATTTATTCTGATGATTCTAATTCATATTCGGGGATTTTATATTTAAAATGAATTTGTTCAAACTCAAACAATACGATTTCTCATGATACAAAAATTATATAATGATTTGGAAGTTGGTCAAACCTCCATTTTAAATCGCAAAATCATATAATTGCTCAGGAGTTATTGTACAAACGATTTGGTTAAATAGGTTCCTGGTAACTTTCGCAATAAGTCAATTTCAGATTAAAGTGTTAGTTTGAGATCAAAATTTGCTTGTAGTTAGTAGCACAATAGTTATGTAAATTTGGAAGCCATTAAAAGCAGAAAAGTTTGTACAATGAATTAGGCGTCTCCCATATTATTGAAGATGTCACTTTCACAATCGAAATGTTAAGACAACTGAGAAAATATTCATGCAGTTTTCCTCAACTGAGAAAATATTCATGCAGTTTTCCTGATCCAACCTACAGTAAGGTATTTTTAACTTCCAAAGTCTGATCAAAAATAAGTTAATTATTTTATCTAATTACTAATATCAACTTAATAGAGTAATTATACACTTATGTACATTTTACAAATAAATTCAATGTAAACAGTTAACATTCATCCTATCCAGCTGCCTACACAGCATCCATAACTCAAATTATCGAACATTTCTAAGTTATATATACAGACAGAAACCATGGGCATGATACCATGAGATAACTCACCATGTACTCTTAAAACTAATTGCATTTTATTAACAAAACGAGGCAGTTTATAATCTATTAATCACAATTTAAATTATTAAATCAATATGTAAAAACAATTTCAAGCTCTACTGTACCTTCTTATTCAACAGATTTATCATTAATTGTGGGCTAATGTGAAAATCAATCTGAATGTGGATGACCTCTACCTCTCACCCAAAACCGGTTATAAAGTTCTCTCAAAATACTTCCAGGACGTCGCTGATGTGTCTCTATTAGTTGGGTAACACGTTGAGTAACTATCTCTGCAACAATCTTTGGCTCTTCTTCATCATCAAAGCTTAAGGGGCGTCCAAGGTGCATCGTTAGTTCCACAGGAAATATCCCAATGATAGGAATAACTGGTAGTCGAGTTTTTTCGTACAGCCAAGAGGCTAATCTAGCAGAAAATTTGATTGATCTGGCAGCTTCTCTTATATTCTCAGTGAAGAATGGTATGATAGGGACATCTGCTTCAAGAGCAACCCGAGAAAACCCTTGTCGTGCATTCCAAATGAGTTCATATTTTTCATCAGAGAGAAGAGACTCTCGGAGCCCTCCTGGATAAATCATTAACGTTTCCCCATCTTTAAGAGCAGTAACACAGCCACTTATAGTGCCAGGTGTTAGATTTAATACTTTCATTAAAAGCCTTAATCCAGGAGCATTGTACAAGAACTTGTCAACTACTAATTTCAGTTTTCTTCTCTCCAAAATACAATGAGCAAGGAAGTAATATGCATCTAACGGTAAAGCTCCATGGTAGCCAACGAGTAAGGCACCACCTTTTTTGGGTAAATGCTGTAGTCCATCAAATTCAATATTGTGCCAAATTTTTCCTTGAGCTTCTGTGATTGCAGCAAGAGACATCCTAAATCCATCCCAAAAGCTGTCATTAAATGCTTCTGACACCTCTCTTTTTCTCCAACGGTAAACATGAGCAGTGATTGACATAAGGTAAAACCAGACTGTCAAGAATAAGGGAGTTAACATTAAGAACAGAGTAGACCACTTGGCTGCCCATGCGCTGTACTCCCACAAGGTAGATAACATTGTTGTTGTAACCATTCTGCAAAATTTAAAGTTATCAAAACTAACCAGTTAAACAAAAATTTCTGTTAAACAAAAATTTCTGTTAAACAAAAATTTCAATTTTATGCCATTTATTACAGTATCAAATAACGGAGTAGTTCGCTGTTTATTAGTCTCATGATTGATACTGATAGTTGGATATTATCCGGTTTGAAGAGACAAGGACAAATGAAACAAGGAAGTTAGGAGTAAGGGCAAATTTTCTGCGTCAACGCCATCTTCAGGCTAAAATTGGTATAAATGTTAGTATATAATTGTAAATGCTTCTATACTAGTTAAAATGCTAAATTGAAATTACACACACTGAATACAGGTTACATCATTTTTGGTATTATATATTACATTGAAAATGGTGATGTACACACGTTTTACACTCTGTCCAAGTACATAATATCTACTGAACATGAGGGTCGTGTGCTATTTGTTTAAATTTGTCTTTGAATATGTTGTAAAAGAAATCCCTTAAGCTTCTCGCATTCTTCTTTGTTATTGATACTAGGTTTAAATAAATTAATGTAGTAAGCTTCTGTCACTTTTCGTTTAATGGTGCTATATAAGTTAATTTCTAAAATATCGAAAGAAATGTCTGGTTCTAAGTTATTGTGAAACTCTGAATAATGAGCAGCCAACGCATTATCAGGATAGGTTAAAGGCCTGTTGACTGCTCTTCGATGCTCTGAATATCTATCGTGTGCTGTTCTACTCGTTTCCCCTATATATAGCTCTTGACATAATTTACACGTGACTTTGTACATGACACATAATGTATCCTATCCTCTTTAACCTATCCTGATAATGCGTTGGCTGCCCATTATTCAGAGTTTCACAATAACTTAGAACCAGACATTTCTTTCGATATTTTAGAAATTAACTTATATAGCACCATTAAACGAAAAGTGACAGAAGCTTACTACATTAATTTATTTAAACCTAGTATCAATAACAAAGAAGAATGCGAGAAGCTTAAGGGATTTCTTTTACAACATATTCAAAGACAAATTTAAACAAATAGCACACGACCCTCATGTTCAGTAGATATTATGTACTTGGACAGAGTGTAAAACGTGTGTACATCACCATTTTCAATGTAATATATAATACCATTTGATGTAACCTGTATTCAGTGTGTGTAATTTCAATTTAGCATTTTAACTAGTATAGAAGCATTTACAATTATATACTAACATTTATACCAATTTTAGCCTGAAGATGGCGTTGACGCAGAAAATTTGCCCTTACTCCTAACTTCCTTGTTTCATTTGTCCTTGTCTCTTCAAACCAGATAATATCCAACTATCAGCATTTATTACAGATTAAACAAGTTTACAAAAAATCAATTTGATATTTAACAGAATCCTAATTCAATGTGCAGTATGGTTGTCACTCTTTAAATAGATTAGATATAGGTTGACGGGGCAAAGGAGTGTGTGTGCTGTTCGCTATTGCACACACCAAACGGCAACCTAGTAAATGTTTTGTATGGACACCGGTCTCCATCACAATACAAAATTAGGATTGTAGAATTTATTGTATAACTATTAGTGCAGTGGAGGTAGTGGTGTGGTGCATTAATAGAGTGACAGCCTACTGATTGAGAGTTGTTTTAAAGTGAGCATAATGGGTGTATTTTTGGATCTAATGGCTTTAGTATGGCAACTTTAAAATTGGTTCTTTTAATCATTTATTAAATATCAGTTTAAAAATATATAAATCTGGAATCTGTTCACACTGTGAACCAGTCCTATAAAAATTTCAAAAACCCTCCTAAATTAAATACTAAAAACGTCTCAGTAATGGAAATAGTCATACAAATAAGAAATTTACCAAGTTCTTAATATCTACCTAAGAGAAAAATACCTACCTAAGTCAATTTCTACCTGTAATACACTAAATATTAGGTTATTAAATACATAGGTGGTGGAGTCAGCACACATTTACCAAAATCAAAATTTTTTAATAGGAGGAGCCTGTGGGCCGAGATCACTGGATTAAATTTGATGAAGGGGATTGTTTTCAAATGACAGCTGCATTATGTCATAATCGCTCGTGGTCCATGCCGAATCATTATAAGCATGTCGCAGCTTTAGAAGTGACTTTTTCAAGGCTAATCGTGTAGGAGTAATAAAAATAATAAGTAGCTATAATTTACCATTTAAAAGTATTTGAAAAATATTTCTGTTTATGATAAGAAAATTGATTTGCATCAGAGCTAAACTGCCCTGGAATATATTATATCGAGATTCATAGATTTGGGGGGGGGGGGGGGGGGCAACCATATTAAAGTATATTAAAATGTAGGATTTTTCCCGATTTTGACCCGGGGATATACTGTAATATACCTACAATATACTTTAATATATCCCTATCTCCTTGGAGGCCTACATCAAAAATTGTTGCCCAAAATAAGCTTGAAATGCAATTCTTAATCGATTCCAAAAAGTTTTTGAAAAAATATTGAAAACTGATGGAGTTATTTCAATTTTAATGAAGTCATTTTGGCTAGTATTCCGAACCGAGATATTATGTGCAATTTTCCCAATTTTGTTCATGGAGGTCTTTTTACTTAGTATCCACTATATTCAACAAACACTGAGTTATATCTTTCACATAGAGTTAGTCTCATTAAAAAATATTAAAATTTTATCGAATTTGGGCAAAAGCGAATTTGGGCAAAAGCGTATGCCCAAATATGGGCATATTTTTTTAAGCTCATAGCTCAGCCAATTTTTGACCAATCTGGATGGAAATTCATGTACTAGTCCTAAAACAGGCTTATCTTGCGAATCTGAGTGAAAAATATAGTTCATCATGTAAATCGTAACGAAGAATATAAATCTTCTAATTGTAGGTATATTAAAGTATATTAAAATTTCACAACTCACACCACTATCAACAAACAATTCATGGTAGATCTCAACATACCACCCAAAGCAGAGAGAGACCTATCTATACCAACCATGATGCTTGAACGACGCTTCACGGTCACCACTCCTGGAGCTGACAACATTGGATATAGAGGCTCACTCCAAAACACCATCGACAACATCCCCAGTGAAACCATCACCTGCTACACAGACGGGTCACGCACAGACTCAGGTAGCGGGGCTGGTTATATTATCACCACAGACAACAACAACACTACACTAGATGAAAGATCATTCAAGCTTCCCGATTATTGCACCGTTTATCAAACAGAACTCACTGCCATCATCGAAGCTTGTAAATATCTATCAACTTATACAAACATACACATCATCATATGGTCAGACAGTCTCTCCTCTATTCAAGCCATATCCTCACCTTCAACGAGGAGTAGGACTACTAGAGACTGTTACGACACCCTCAATACACTCGGATCCACTAACACCTTAGAGATCAGATGGATAGCTGCACACATTGGATTGTGGGGTAATGAAAAAGCAGACGAGCTGGCCAAAAATGGTACATCCAGTGAATCCACTTTGAATTGCCCAATTCCACAATCTTATATCAAACGCCTGATCAACGACAAAGTCACAAAACTTAATCAAGAATCATGGATTACTAATGGTCCCAGACACACTAAACTGACACTTGGACATAAAAACATCAACATCATCAAAAATCTCAACACTACACTCAGTAACAACAGAAAAAATTATAGAACTGCAGTGCACCTCATCACGGGACATTGTGGCCTCAACAAACACCTACACACCATTCGCAAATCAGACACAAGTGCTTGTCCTAAATGCGGCGACGAAGAGGAGACTGTCTCACACTTTCTCGGACAGTGCCCGGCTATTGCCCAAATAAGAGGTCAATATTTCCGGGACTACTACCTCTCTGTCAATGACATATTCGACAACCAACACATCTCCACCATTGTCAACTTTACAAACCACACTAAACGCTTAGTGGTGCCAGAGGAGTTGGACCAGACAGGTGTAACATAGCGACTACTTTAACGCCGTCTTATTTCGCCTCTCTCTTCCACACTCAACCACCACTTAAGCGTTTATCTATGACACACCCCACAACACTTACCATCATCCTTGATTACACATCTTGATTCCACTGGCATCCTCCCACAGGACTGCCATACCCCAGAGGTAGGCAAAGCATTCATATGCTATCCTCTCGTGGGCCAACCAGGCCCAGCCTCTCTAAAAAAAAAAATTAAAAAAAATTAAAATGTAGGATTTTTTCCGATTTTGACCCGGGGATATACTTTAATATACTTTAATATGGTTGCCCCCCCCCCCCCCCCCCCCCCCCCCCCCCCCCCCCCCCCCCCCCCCCCCCCCCCAGATTTATATGTAGCCACAAAATTAGATCTGGTTGGCCATCTCTATAAGAACTACATGAGCAAGGAGTGCCTTTAGTAAACACTACTGCTTCAGACATTTAACCCTCAATCACAGATTTCAAAATATTCAAGGGCTGAATCGACCTCAACCACAGGAGATTACACAGACCAAATGAAGTTCATTGAGCACACGTTTGTCATCAATGACGGTTGCTTATCAAGATTATCTTTTCTAAAATCTTCAAGCAATGTTTAAAAAGCTGTGGTGGTCCAGTGGTTGTTTGAAGAGAATATTAATTGGAACATTACTGGTTCAAAACCCGCATCAAACACAGAGGGTGCGCTGATGACCTCTATGCAGTCTCCTCTGGTTGACTCAGCAAAATGATCAGAAAATCGGTCATAGAGGGTTATATAAAGAGGGGCCCTGCAAAAAATCTATAATCTTTTAATGGTACCTTGCAAGACACAACATTAATACTGTGGTTCAGACAGCCCACATTTTACCAGAGTAAAATGAGTTACTGTTTCGGTGACTCCATGCTAGGTTTAATTCCTTAAGGTCATTCAAGGTTAGGGTATGTTCTTCCAATCAAGAAAAAATGCCTGTTGCGAGGTAAAATTGGGCAAGTCTGATCTAAACTATTAGTGACAGGAGATATTGGCCAAAAAGATTTTTTAAAGTTGTTACTAGTTATTATGTTATTTAACTTAGTTAGAAAGTATTCAAACAATATACACATAATATAAAAAGTATTCAAACAATATACACATAATGTCACAATGACCCTATATAATAATAATAATAAATTGAAATTTAATACATAATAACACCGCTTTTAAAATAAAACTTATACTCAGCAGTGTTTGAACTAGTCATCCCAGAAAATATCATGAAAACTGAACTAAAAGATAACTTATGCTTGAAAATATAACGTCAATACTAAAGCCCGAAAATGGTAATTAAATATATTATGTTGATTCACGATGTCAATCCTTCGACCTTCGCATCTCGCCGATCTGCATACGTGGTTGCGAGATCTGCATACGTGTGGTTGCGAGAAGGTGCGCGGCGCGGCCCAGTAGTGCATCGCGCTACAATATATTATGCAAAGATCGAATTATAAATATGACCAGAATAGTTATCGTTTAAGATTTTCAAGTTCATCTGGGGACAGTTTGAAAAGGTACGTTTTTAGAAAAGCTTTAAAAGATTCTTAACGGGTGATACTTTGCTCTAACCAGAGCCCTTTCGCTTGCAGTAGCGCGCGACCGCCGAAGGCGGCAAAGAATCTATTTACTTGTGAAACAAGCGCGTCACGCAGTACGCGTAGACACATGGCTATGTGAAGGTGATACTCGTAAAATATTTGTTCCATATATTAGGACCGTCGAGGAGTCCAACTCGGCGCGCGTTCTGGTAGGTTGTAAACCTACAAAAAGATTCCAAAGATTGAACTGAGGTTTGTATCACGTTGCGACCCCCACGGTCGTTTCACTATGACGATACAGGGGTTTCACTATGACGTCCTGACGATACAGGGGAGCCGCGCACTCGTGCGCGGCGGGTCATACAACGTATGACAAGCTGAGGTGATGGTAACAGGCAGCTGGCAGACAATTGTATATCTTTGGAGCCACTACTGAGAATCTACGCTCACCAAACTCTGAATTACAAGAAGGAACAATAAGTTTTACAATTTAAGTCATGAAATATACGAAAATTAAAATAATACAATAAAAATTCGTAATAATCAATAATTTGCTCAATCCAGCGTTTTTTATTATTAAACTCCTTTTTACTTTTAGATAATTGGGGGTCGAAATTGACTTTTTAGTTGTATATAATTTGACGGATGTTACTCGTCTAAATTTCTTCGAAGTAGCGCGCGCTGGGATAGTCCATTAACAATTGACAATATATAATATGCATAAAGGGAAGTAATATTTATCAGCTGTTAATGAGTAATTGTTCATGTTTTGTGTGTTGTGTGAGCGATTTTCAATTGCGCGCACTGAACATCGAACTTTAAAATTTATCACCCTGAAACTTTCAAAATATATTTAAAGATCATTTGAAAGAGATTGTCAGAATAAAATGTTGCTGTAGGTCTTTTAAACATTTTAAGTCGATTTTAAAATTGACTGGCTTCTAAATATCGTCTAAAAATCAGGTCCAAGATTTCAAACTTTTTGGAAGGTTGCAAAAATCAATCAAATTGTGAGTTAGAATTTAATTAAATGGGATGATGATTAATTACTTTACTTAACGGGTGATACTCGTAAAATATTTGTTCCATATATTAGGACCGTCGAAGAGTCCAACTCGGCGCGCGTCCTGGTAGGTTGTAAACCTACAATCACTCTACACTCGACTGTCACGTGACTTTTTCAACCCGTTCTCTAGCATTTCCTGAACGACTATTCGAAACTCTAACCCTCTAATATAATCTGATCCCAACCCTAACCCTATATAACCCAATCCTTATGCCTTAACAAAAGCATATGCTGAAACCCTAAGCACTATGACTAAGGCTAACCCTAACGAGAAATTAGACTAACTTCCTTATAACTCTAATACGGTCGGGGGCCCTGTAGAGTGATTTAGCACGCTCGAGGGGCGGTGGTAACAGAATTTCAAGACTATAATGTATAAGTATAGGATTCTGTTGTCGATATCTATGATTAATATGTATACCTTATCGGACCTTATTTGGACATTACTTGAACACTGGAGGCCCTAGCGTTCATTTTAATGTCCGTTCAAATAAATTCCGTTAATTTAATGTCCGTCCAAGTTAAAGTCCGTTGAATAAACCTACAAACACACTGCCATTGCCAAGGCCCAGTGAAGGCATTTACTTTTTTATTACATACATTATTATATGTACTTGTAGATAAACGTTTCTCACCGAACTTGTCCGTAAATTTTACCCGTCTGATCATCTGATACCATAATTATAGCCCTACAAACTATAACCATCACTTTCAATAGTCATCCTGTCGCGGGGCGCTTTCTTTATCACCAATAATATCATTAATCATACCCTCTAAGTCTAGTCTAAACAAGGCACCACGCCACATGCAGTGAGCCCCACCACATGCAGTGAGCCCCAACACATGCAGTTCATTTCACCGCACCAAGTGCCAAGAGTTTGGAAATGGAAAGTAATGATGTAGTAAATAAGGATGATGATTAATCACTCTACACTCGACTGTCACGTGACTTTTTCAACCCGTTCTCTAGCTGGTCCTGAACGACTATTGGAAACCCTAACCCAATCCTTAACAAGAGCATATGCTGAAACCCTAACCCTAACGAGAAATTAGACTAACTTCCTTATACGGTCATATCACGTGATCGAGACAGTTTTTCGCCAATATCTCGTCAGTATTTTAACCCTATGCCATGGGGGTGATTCAGAATCAGCGTCCGAAAATACATCGAATGATGTTGGTTTCAACTGTCGGGGGCCCTTTTAGAACAATCTCGAAGATCGACTATAGAGTGATTTAGCACGCTCGAGTAAATAAACTAACTTTCTATTGTAGATTGTAGTATTCTTAATTATAAAAGCCTCTACCGTTCGCTTTATAAGATTAATCACATTTATTTTACTAGTGTAACCCGTGCCTACGGCCGGGACTTCACTATCGCAGTTGAAATTCAACTGAATGAATTGCAACTTGAATTGCAAAAGTATAAACTGTGCAAAAGTTAAAATTGTAGTGAAAAAGTATAATTCTATAAACTGGCTCAGTTGAAACCGACCGCATTAGAGTAAATTTAATTCTGAGCGCCCATCACTTAATACGTATCCAATACTAATAGTGATACGTAATAGGCTCCACTGCCAAATTACCTAATTATGTACAAAGCAGTAATTAGGGGAGCTGTAAATGGGGAGAGAGAGAGTGTGTGAGAGAGAGTGTTAAGATTTTAAAAACCTTAATCATTTGGCTTGGTCAGCGTTTTGTCGGCACTATACCGAAAAAAACCAGCCCCGTAACTCTTACTGTTTTCTTGATTAAGCTGTTCGGAAATTACCCACAGACAGACAGACAGACACACATCTTGAGATTATTAGTATTGATAGCCAACACACTATATCTAGAATCAATAGCACCAAACCTAAACGTTATATTACGAACAAAACTGTTTAATAGAACCTTAACCCTAACCGTAAAAATCGGATGATGGTTAATTAATCGCTCTAAACGTTTGACTATCACGTGATGTCCACCACATTATAAACACTGAAGCCTGAAATCCTCAGTTAATTCCCGATATAGAAGCAGAGCCTAGCATCCAAATTTCGGGACCTACAATGTACAAATTTCATTCCTTGGCCAATTTTCCCCATTTTTTTCTGGGTTATTATAGAAAAAACACGAAACTAACAATCGGCCAGAGCAAATAATGTTCGAATGTGGGACAATTTTGACGAACTTTATTAAAGTCTGTCCCACTAAATCACTCGCCAGGTATTAAAGTAGCTTGACTCGATATATTTTTCAATGCTGATTCCAAAACAACCCTCCTTTACCTTAAGTTGCGCCACTGCTTATCATTGAAAATAAAGTCAACAGTGACAAAATTAAATTTAGTAAAAATCTTGAATGGTATATAATATTAATACTAATAGTAATCAGTTATACAATTACATGTACATACATTTTCATCGATACATAATATTAATAGAGTGATTCCCCTTAGTAAATGTATGAGTAATGAGCTGAAAGAACGGAGAGCAAATATATAAATGTTTATCAGTAGTTAACCTATGTATTTGTAACACGATCATTTTACTATTCATGACCATTAGGAACTTGTATATCTAGAGATATATTGAAAAAGAGAATACCAGATCGCCTTTACCTTACTTGAACTTTCCTGTTAAATTCACCCACGTCAAACCTCGTGCCGTACAAATATCATATCATCATAATAAAAGGAAGTATCAAGTAAATTCTATAAGAATGGAAAAGAAATATATTCTCAAAGTTTCTCTTGATCAAGAGTGTAGAATTTGCAATGTTTATTTCGCTTTCGAAATTTACTGATTAGTTCAAGACGTAAGACCAATTTGCTTAAAAAGGAGTAAAACTATGGATATTATCCTAATGCGACTTTTATAGATGTGAACTGCTAGTAGATATTCATTTCCAGTCGGCACCTCTGACCTCACAGATCCAATCTAAATGAGAAAGTGATCAAGTCAACTAATTAAATTCTTAACGTGCTTCGTAAATCGTTCAGTACTATACGTAGTAATAAGATATTTCACATAAAGATGAAATAGATTACAGCATACCATACCACTATAATTAAAACATATTCGAGCGGATGATATTTATTAGGAATGAATCATCCTAAATAATAATCATTAAGCGTAATGTAAATCCCTTGATCGGACCAATCCGCCAGCTCAAATGGAATAAAGTTGATCATATTTACAAGCGACATCTAATTAACACTAAAAATAGCTGCAAAAAGTTAATAAGTGGATAAAAATTAAAGTTAATTATAGATTTTTCGATGGCTGAAAGCCAAATTTCGAGGAAGTCATTGCACGTTGCAATTCGAATATTATAATGCAAAGTTGAATCGATTAACCAGTTTGTTTGCATTTAAGTCACAATCACTTAAATTAGTACAACTTAGTACATAATCTGTTGTGGTGTGGGGGAGCACTAAGCAGCCGATACTAAGACTAAAATTAATAACTAAGTGTATAAAATATATTTATTTTTATTAAGGTGGCCTAAACATGCGTGGTTGTCTGAACAGTGGACTCGAAATAAGGTTCACTATCGGGATTGTCAGAGATATTGTTTCCACCCGTCTGAGAGGTGCTGCTCAGATTTTGTCTCTTGCCGCCGATTTTCGAGAATTTTAACCCAAGAAAGGTCTTGTTGTTGCGGAGAATGGAACAGGAAATGTCGTGCAGAAAGTTCTCGGTGTTATTAACACTGTTTTTCTCCTTCATGGAGGAGTCCTTGACACTGTCCACGCTGTGGCACTGACTAGAAGGTGGTCTTGGGGAGGGGCGTTTCTTAACGCTCATTGTAGTAGCCCCATCGTAAGTTCCCCTCCTTGTATCAGCGAAACTGGGGGTATCACTGTTGAAGAAGAAGATGATCTTCTTAAAGCTGGCTTGGAACTGGGGGTTGATGAGTCCGTATATGATGGGATTGATTGCGGAGTGGCTGAAGAGGAGCCAGTGAAGGGATATCTCAAGTGTAGGGTAGATTTGGGGAGGTTTATCGTATGCCCTGATGTAGAAGAGGATGTACAGAGCACGGCACCAGACAGGCAAAATGCAAACCAGCAAGCAGATGATGACCGCCAGAACGGTCATTGTTGCTCGAATCTTCTGTCTGTTTACTCTACACTGCAGTGATGTCACCACCTAGTAAGGAAAACGTTTTCAAATAGGGGCAAAGTGCTTCTTCAATTGTAGATTCAACTGTATTTAAAATTAAAATAATAAGCATCGTCACCAAATACTCGGATGACGGATTTTGTTATACTGGAAGTGTAAAAATATTTCCTTACCGAGAAAATGATAGCGTAGCTGACGATGACGATAAGGATAGGAAGAGGGAAGGTGAAGAAGCAGTAAGCAGCAAAGTAGTCCAGATTTTCAAAGAAGTCTGGTCCGCAGGTGTAACTGTGGAGGTTCCAAGAGCTGGCTACTTGTGGAGTGAAGATAGGACAGCACACAACAGCGCAGGAGACAGCCACCACCCCGATAAAGATGAACGTTTTCTTCCTGTTTATCCACGCCCTGTACAGGCTTAGTATTGAGGGTGAGAACAAAATACACAAACAGCGTTTAGAAGTTTACAAATGCAGACTGAAAAGTAGCGTTTAAAATGTGATAATACATGCCCTTGTTATAAGTGTTCAGACTTGTTCGCATGCACCTCCAAGCATGCACTGCAGCTTCCCAAACAGACCTTTTAGCCATTCAAGATCAGCCTACACCACTTGAAATCTTGAACGTGCTTTTAAAACGAAAGTAAAGTTATATATGCTTTAGTAAAGGGTCAACATCACACCAAAAAACCAGACAATCCAAGTTTTGAGTTTACGGACCAAGCCGGAAGACCAACTCACTTGTACTTGTAGGGTTTAAATATCATGACACATCTGTCCAGAGAGGAAGCTGACAGGATCCACAGAGAGACAGGGAGGGTCATGGTATCCACAAAGCTGGTTAGAGTACACATCCAAGGGGGCAAGACACCGCGTTGAGCACTCACAGTTATCGTTGCGGGCAACATCGTGTTGATACCTGGTTTATTGAGGTTAGGGAAACTTAAAAATCTGGAGTCCCGAGTCCCGACCATGCCTGTAAATTATTAAGCTTCAATTTAATCTACATATTTTACTGATAAATTAATTGTTTGAATAAGATGCCCAATATTATTATATCGTTGCAGAAGTAATATCCGGAGCTGACCGGTGTTTTACAGTTTTACTGGTTGGTAAGTTGCAAATTAACTGGTCAATAAAGTGGTGAATAAAGTGGTGAATTGTGTGGTGAGTGGTGAGTGGTGTGATGCAGTGTAATGAGCCACCTATATCCAATATCCTAATTGCTAGGTACACCAGCTCACTGTGAATAGTGGTACACTAAATGGAGGGTGTGTCCTTTATACAATACAATCTTATTGTTATGTTATAGTGACGTTATTACTCGCACCACATGATGAAATAATCATTTATCAAGACCATATCTTCACTAACACTAACTTAGTAGTACTTTGATCCCAAACCCTCTTATTATTATTAACCCTCTCCCTGATCCCAATTCTTACGCAGACGCTCAAATGATGCTAAATATTGTAAAAATGTATAAGAAAAAGCACAATATCTGAACTAAGTTACCAATTGAGATGTCAGTGACGGCGAGAGCGAAGAGGTAGAAGTTTGAGGTGCTTTGCAGCTTAGGATTGGTGATGATTGCGAGTATCACTAGGGAGTTTCCCAGGATATCAACTAGGAAGAACACCGTCATTGAGGTCGCAAATGCTGCCTGTACCGGCAGGGTCAACATTGGATCTCCTGTATCGTTTCCTGTTTCGTTCATGGCTAATAATAACAGAAATTAGCAAGTTGATTTCCGATATTTGAATAAAAATATGGGGCATGGGCCACACAATAAAAGTGATGTCTTCAGAAAATGCTGGATCAAAAAGTTGAGTCTAAATTTTCTGTATTTGTTTTTCGATTTTGAACATTGTTCAATTTTAATACAATTCTGAAGAAAAATATTCTATTATAGGTTGTAGCAGTAAAATAGTAAAGCCGACATGGCAAACTTTATTGGTAAACTAAAAGAGACTGTGTTTAACCTATTTCTGTTCGAACGTGCAGAAATACAAATATTTGAGATAAACAATAGCGTCCAAATTCAGAATTGCTAACTCTAATTGTTATCATGCATACTAGCCTCATTGTTAACTTCAATTGACCTTCGACACATGATTCCGGAATGTTTGGAAGTTTAAAAATGTTCAACTGACTGCATATCTTATCTAAAACGCATTGTAATAGCTTTCTTTGTAAAACTAAAAGCACAAAAAACGATCATAACAGAAATTCTTTAAGATCTTAAGTCCAACATACGGCCGCTGCATTGATCCCTCATGTGCAGCAATAGCATACTGAGCAATTCTCAATTAATCAATAGTCAATATCGTTATTATGACTTGTTCACGTGACATTCCAATTCAGTAGCATTAATTGAAAATCCTGGAAAAGCATCCACACATTTCATGATAATTTATTGTAATTTCCTAACAATAGTTTCCATAAACTGTCAGTGTCATAGAATAGAAAAAATAAAATACTGCATGCTGATCTACCTATCAAATAGTTCCAATAACAAAAAACGAGAGACACGATATCAGAGATGCCGAAATTTAACAGTACTAAACGGAATTAAAATCGTGTCAGATCAGCTGCCTTGTAAAAATTTAAAACTTAGGGGTCAAGTGGACCACCGTCATTACAAGTCGCACTTTTACTGCTGTCAAGTGCTCAGTATTATATTACTGCTCAGAATGTGCGACTGGGGATCTGCGATAGAGCCATCAATGATGACAGGAACCCTCGCCAGCCGCCTAACAAAAACTTAATCGTGACAAAGGGGTCATAGAAAACTCAGGTAATACTAGAAGTCATTCTTGCCTAGAAACTATTTGAATATACTATTTATGATGTTGTAATAAATAATTGAAACGTTGACCGTTCCTATTTCCTAAAAGGCGGTCGTTTCACTAGCTCACAGAAACGTTATAAATGAAGCTAAAAATAATAAATTATGATGGCTTTGATTCAAGCCATTCTTACCATGAATAAAATTTTAGGCATCAAATTAAAAGTTCTAAACCTTAAGTGAACACTGGTGGGGGTGAGGGTGTGGGTGTGGGTTTATTATTTTTTAAGAGAGGCTGGACCTGGTTGGCCCACAAAAGGATAGCTCATAGCATGAAGATGCTCTGCCTGCCTCTCGGTGTGGTAACCCTCCAGGTAAAGGATACCGGGGAAATATATGAGAAGATGATTGAGGTAAAGTGACAGGTAGAATGAGGTGGACGTTTTTAAAAGCCCGAATCTCAAGAGAGTTCGTGGATCCGAGAGCATTAATAGTATAGCTTGTATAGAGGAGAGGCTGTAGGGACTACTAGAGAAGATGAATAATTAAAATTCCAACAGCATCTTGTTCTCTTCATTGTGCTGATTCCGGGAAGCATTCGCTTTACTATACGCTCTGATCATACTGTAGAACTAGAGTGAGATAAAATTTGATAATTATAGGCCTGTCAAGGATTGTAGCCCAATTAAGAGTTGATCAATTGAAGCTACTTGTGCAATATATCAAAAGCTGTCAATCCCTATGATGATGCATAGTTGGTTCGTGCGCACTTAACGTACTTTTAAAACATAACGCACTTAACGTACGAAAAAACGTAAAACGGTGAATTCAACGGTAAATGTACTTAAACGCACTTTTAACGCACGAAATAATTCAAACGCACTTTACGCACTTTACCCGAAAAATTGACGCACGAACCAACTATGTGATGATGTGCATGTTGGTATAATTGTAAAGGTGCAATTGCAAGCTTCGCTGGTGGTCGTAGATAGAAGGGAGAGCTCGACGGTGGTGACGCCCAAAAACATTCAATCTCTCCAACATAATCTAAGCCATTAGGTGCTCAAATGATTGCTAAACATGTCTCCGGCATCTTAAGATGTCTACCTTTTTCAAAAGTTCTGAGCAATGAGCTGAAATAAACGGTGTGCGAACTAATTTTCGATATTTAAGGCCATGTTTCGTTTTTTTTTAATGAGACAAGTCTCACGGATTTTTCAAGCACTAAAAACACCCCCGCTAACTGAAAAACAAAACTTAGTGCTGGGCGCTTAACTTAAATCAATTCTAAATAAAGATTTTAAGGCGTTATGAGATTTAGAGCCAGAAAGTCCTGGAGTGTAATGGAGCTAAAACAGTAAAATTGGCATAGGTGGTATATTTCAAGTCTATATGTCATTATATTAATGTAATCTCAGTTAAAGTTATTCCCTGTATAAAAACTTGGCCATCTTTGGGTCAAATACTAGGAATAATATTCGTTGAATATTGGCGTCGCGTTCCATCCAATTTCGAAAGTTAAGATATCCTCGAATGCAGTAGATCTTAAGCTTTCATTTTAGGACATGCAAGCTTATTTAAGCATGTTTTAAATATTTTGAGCCAACATTTTGAGCCCTACGTAGGAAGCACCAGTGAGTTTTCAAAATATTTAATAAAAAATTATAACCGTATAGTATAAAATGCTTAATAATTTATCAATAATTCGTAGAAAACAAGCCTTGTTAATAGAAAACGTAAGACAATCAATATTGAGAAGTGTTGAAAAGTCACAAACCCCAACATACGAACAAAAGGCAATTATACTGCGTGGCAGTAATCAATAGCTATACCCTGGTTATTGTAAGGAAACGCATTGGAGAAGAGAAACTTTACAGAAAGTCTAGAGTGATTGAGACCTATTCTTATAATCTTCATGTTTTGTTTTATAACACTACTGATTAACCCAGCTTTTTCATTTCCACGGACTACTAGAGATTTTACAATCTGTATGCTCAATAATCTTTTTCTGACGTGGTAACAGTTATAACAGCTCTTGAAAGAATCTTAATGACAGAACTAATTATGTGGCGTTGAAATGTTTAAGAAAGCAGTATGATGAGTATTTGCGAGTTAGAGTGCTATAAAAGTTTGTCACAAATTCCAGGACGAGTCACGAGACGACCGTTAATCAATATTTACCCTGCCACACGTACACCTGCAGTCTTCTCGGTCTCCGGGCTCAGTGGAGGATGGAATTTAGAGAAAACAGTAGCAAATCACAGTTGAGAGGAAACAGTCGATATAATCGAGTCCATTGGGTAAAATAACATAAAAACGGGTTCACGTTGTAGTGATTACTTATCCCTAATCACTGATTAGGCATTAACTTATTGTCAAGAATTAAATTTGATGAAAATAAGCTTAATTTATATAGTCAAGTAAATCGAATTAATTAATATTAGTTAATCAAAATAACGAAACCGGACTGGAGGACGTAATGTTACCGAGCCCCATCATTTAAAATGTCGCTTAACAAGCAGGCTACAAAACGACTTTTCGGTGGATGAATGCGCATCCAAACTTAAACAGGCGAGCATGCCTCTCATTAATTATCACATTCTTTATATTACAAATATTTATATATTGTGATGCCGTTAGCGTTACTCCCAGCTAAACTTGCAACAAAGTACTGAAGTTAAAGTGATAGCATGATTTCAACGAGCAGGATGCATGTAAGCCGGTAAGCGTCCTATACTCATAATCTTATAAAAATAATAAAATATCTGTTAAAGATAAAAATATTGAGGAAAAGTCGCGTGACAGGAATTTAAAACGACAGTAACTGGAAAATATCCAGAAAGTTGCAACATCGTCATTTTGCACATAAAAGTTGCACTCAGACGCCTCCAAAATTATACGAATAACTTCATAAATTTGATTACCGCTTCGTGTCATGATAACGGCACAGAATAAGTCACGGCTCGACTGATAAGCAGCCGGCATTTCACCTCCCACAAAAGTTTTCCTCATTAATTAAATATCATATTTATCGGTACTTGGTAGGATTCTCAGTGCATCGCTCCTTTCATCTTACAACTCACAGCTCCATGCTAGAACTTTTATTAATCAAATTTCTTGCTCACTATAATATTTTCAGTCAAATGCGATAAATTTAGCTTTGAATCGAACGATCACCTCGTGATTCAACCAGCGACACGATTTGACGAAGTAAGTCCTGAGCTTTAATAAATTAACAATACTTACTCTGGGTTTCTCATCACGTAGATTGCGTGGACCACACAGTATCAGGGGAGAATTATATTGAAGTTTAAAGTTTTTTTCTTACACTAAAAGATAAGTATTCAAAATTCAACGCTTGAACCCTTTCATTTATCAAAGAACTCTCAAAGATACTATTCGCCTCATTTTTGAGAACCCATAAGTTCAAGCTCAATGATAACTATAGAATATAGATGATGACCCTTTTTCAGCTCCATGAAAACAGGCCTCAGTACTGTAGATACTAAATTTAGAGCCCTGCAGTGATCCCTCTAATTACAGTTTTCTTAATTCAGTGCTCTATTCACCACGTGCCCCTGCTCTTCTCATTCGAGCATTAGATTGTTAGCCACAGTTACCACGTGCCTCACATATTTAAGGTTCTAAATGTCAATTTTAGGTTTAGTTTTGGAATCATAAGTCATACTCATCAGTAATGGTTGGATTGAGGTGATGAAGTAAATTATCATCAGGATTATAAGACTAAAAGTATGGATCCATGGTGATCCTGGACACATGCAGCTGAAAGCACTGGGCCCCAAGATCATCGGTCTGAGCGACGTAAATCGATTAGACAACAACATCTTCCTCTGCTTTAATAGCAAGAATTAATAATAAAGATTATAATATAAGCTGTGCCGAAGCTCGTTAAGAATTTAAAACTTGCACACGT